GTGCTGCGCGCTCTGTTTTTCACACCGACCCAGCTCAGCCCTCACTGCGAGGGAAGGTGATTGGGTACGTGGATTGTCGTATGTTCATAGACCCATTGGTTCGACGTTGCCCCATGCCATGGACAGGTGGAAACCGTGATGTCTTGATTGCCTTCACCGCCAAGGGTTTTGAGTCCGTGCAACCGCTGCTTCGACAGGAGCTTGCAGCGTGCGGCTTTTCTTTGCCGGGCAACTTCAACGACTTCAGCTCCTCCCCACTCGTAGGTGGTTTAGTGCCCTCGGGTTCAGCTGCCTCGCCTGCCCTTCCCCTAGTCCTGAGCATAGGGTCGTAGTTGGGATACCTTGGACGCCCGGTGAGTTCATCGAGCAGGCCTTGGTAGGAGGTCACCCAAGGCACGTGGGCTTGAGCTTGCCACTAGACTTGAAGGACTCCATTGACCGGCTTACCGAAGGATCATTGGCGTCCATCGGGTGTCATCGGACTGAGGTTCTTAGGAAATGGGTTGCCAGGGCTTATGAGCTCACCGAGTCGGAGGAGGAGAGGAGTTCAAGGCCACTCTGCCTGACCATTGCAGGCCGGCAAATGAACTATGCTGTTCCGCGAGTTGCTTGAAGAAGCAGAGCACCCCGACCGAGAGATCGTGCAACACATGAGCCACGGCTTCCAGCTGGAGGGTGCCATGCCCAGTTGTCCGGAGTTCCGGGCTAAGCGCACAAGTGCATCCATCCGTGCATGACTTGAAGCAATCTGCTGTGGAACTTCGGAAGGGAATCATCAACTCGAGATCGACCGAGGTACATACGATGCAACTTTAGACGAAGTTCGTCGGGGCTGGCTAATGGGACCTCTGCCGATGGAATGCCTAGTAGAGGGTTCTTCCTTGGTAACCCGACGCTTCGGAGTGATGCAAAACAACAAGATCAGACCAACAACAGACAACTACCTGGAGAGTGGGCTGAACTCCACAGCCTCGGCCGCTGATACCATCACTTTGCACTCCGCGGATTGTGTCGCGGCGGGTTTAGCTGACAGGTTGCAACAGGACTGCAAATGTGCCTTGCATCAGCTGGTCCTGAAGGCTTGGGACCTTCATAAGGCCTACAAAAATTTACCTTTGGCATATTGGCCAGGACTTTTGGCTCCCGTTACAGCGTACATGGGTTTTGCAGAGTTTCTTTAGGGCTTTGGAAAATTTTAGTTCGGTTGTGATGGGTTCATATCAGCGTTTATTTACTTCGACGACTATGTGTCGGCTCAGGTTGGACCGCTGGCTCAACTCTGCGACATAGATGTCAACTTGGTCTTCCAGCTGCTGGGGTGGACCACCTCGAGGACTAAGGAATATCCTTTCAATTGCATCGCAAAGGTCCCAGAGCTCAAAACTAACCTAGAGAGTTCCCAGCTTGGAAAAAATTTCATGTGCAACACCGAAGCGAGGTAAAACAAGAGCTCTTCGAAAGCATTTTTTATGTATCCTTGAATCTCATGTTTCCTTGTCCTTGGACGCAACGATGGGGAGAGCGGCTCCGTGGCCGATTGCAGTTTGCTGAGGCGCAGGTTGCAGGAAAATCAGCCGGCATAGCTCACACGACAGCTCACACGACAGCTCACGCGCTTTGTGTGCGCTGGCGAGGGTCGCCTTATAATGATCCTACCAAGGAGGCGCTCCTGACCCTTCGAAATCGTGTGAACTTTGGGTCCCCTCGTTGCATAAGCACCAATACGTTGAACACAATGCACGTTCACGTTGACGCCTCATGTGAGAGCGACAAAGTTGGCTTGGGAGGCGTACTCATCAACGATTGTGAACGAAGCTTGGATACTTTAGTGAGTTCGCTTCGCCTGGCGTCATCGCTAAAGTAAACCCCGAAAGTGGCAACCCAATTTTTGAATTTGAATGCCTCGCAATCTTTGCAGCCTTGCACCTATGGCACCAGCTCTTGGCAGGGACGAATACAGTCGTCTTCACTGACAATGAGGGAACATTGGCGTGCATGGTCACTGGTACTTCGTCCAATCCCTTCGGGGCGCAACTTGTGAGAAGCACCCACGAGGTGTGCGACACCCACTGTCTTAACGTATGCTTTGAGCGTGTGAACACTTGTGCTAACGTGGCAGACGACCCTTCCCGTGGTGACCTGCGTCTCACACGGTAAGCGCTTTGAACTGTCTCTCGATGAGATAGTCGACTGTGCTTTGGGTCGTGGGGGTGAATGAGCAAAGCATGTCGACTTCATGCTTCCGTGCTTGCATGCTGCGGCATGCATCACTACTGTATGCGATGGCATACACAATCTTCAACTCCAAGTCGCCCCGCGTCTAATGTAAAAAAGATGTGACCGAGCGCTTCTTCTGTCATGCAGTGATTCCAGATTGCTTGGATTTCTTTTGTTGAAATATGATATAACTTCGGAATAAATATTTGATGCCAAGCATCGAATATATTATTCTCTGAATGGTACAAGTTACCATTTGTTTGATATCTTTGCAAGTTTTATCGGGCAAAATATCATTTGACTTTCTTCTGCTGTTATGAAGAAACTGTTCGCAGGAAACACATAACAGAAATAAGGTAACCTTCCATCGAGATGGACGGACCTTTATTTCTGGACATGTGTTTCTTTTGCCCGGAAACTGCGTTTCCGGGCGGTTGTGCGAAAGTTTTTCATAGCATCAAAAATCTGACAGTTTTGGTTTGTGACATGTCTGAACATGCGAAACATATCATTTTCGATGTCACAACATGTGAACCTCCTTTCTGTTGTAGTTTTAAACTGTGCCTCGATATTGATCTCAATATCCGTGCAAGAGATTGGGCTCCAGCTTTGAGGAGCCAGGAAAATTTTCCCCTAGAGACTGGCATATTCGATTACAGCGTCTGGTAGACGGACACTTGAAAGTGGAGTCCAATGCCGCTTTTGGCACAACACATGCCCTTCGATCAGCCGCTGACAGCCCAGCGCATGTGCTGATCGCGCTGGAGATAGGAGGGAGTATCTTGGGTAAAGAATGCCAACAAATGTTTTGAAGCAGTCAGTTTTACTGTCGGGACAGTGCCACGCAACAAGGCTTTCAAATAGTGTCAGTCGGCTTATTGTATGCAGCTGTCGAAGATGCTCGCCCCGTGCATGGAAGATGCAATTCGTATTCAGAACATCTGCGATCTTTTGACTTTTGTTGTGGGCCGTTAGATTCCGTTAGATACAAGCGACAGACAGTTCGCAAGACATGACGTATCAGAATTGGAATCGTTCATTAAGATGGTTGTTTAGTGCCATGGACGACCATCGGAGCGTGATTTGTCCGCTTGGAGAAGCGGGCAAAGTGCTGGATGTGGCCCTGAGTTGTTCTTGCCTCAGCACGCAATCTTTTATGGGGCTTTTTAGGAGTTTCCTGCTGATTCCTGCTTTGTTTGTTTTCTGAGGCCGCGTTCAGGCGGGACCCTGTGTCGGGTTGGTGCAAGGCAGGAGGCCTCAAGGCGCGTCTGCCGCCAGAGGCGGTCTGCGTGGTTCTGCTCCTCTTGATTCTGGGCCTTCTCTGCTCCTGCCTCTGGCGGCACGCTTCCCAAACTTGCCACAAGGCCTTTTCGGGGGAACTATGGGAGGGGTTGCAGAGCCGAGAGAGAGAAGAGGCTAAAGCTCTCAAACCTCCGTCATTTTCCAATTCCAGGCTCCGAAAAGCCCCCAGCAGCGGCGGACGCCGGAGCGGCGGACGCCGGAGCGCGAGCCGGGCGAGCCGGGCGAGCCGGAGCCGGAGCGCCAAGAGAGGACTCAAAAGGAGCTGCTCTCTCTCTCTTCTCTCTCCCAAAGGAACAGCCTTCGGTTTCTTTCTTCTCAGGTTCGATGCGGTGCCTTCCGGGCTCTCCAAGTCCGAGGCAGGGCGCTTTGCGTTGTGGTGTGTGCTGTGCATGACGCAGTGCATGATGCGAGAGGCGTCCACGCCAGGTTGCTCGGGCCCGGGCCGCAGTTTGCGCACTTTGCCTTTCCGCATCGCTGCAGTGCGGTGCAAATTTTTGAGGCTTGGGAGCCGAGGAGTCCCAGGCCCAGGCCCAGGCCCAGGCCCAGTTGGCGGAGTCCGAGCGGGAGCTGCCGAAAATGGCGAGCCGCTACTCCATCAAGTCCGCCTTCTCACGCTGGACACGAGCAAAGGCCAAGGTGCGCGTGGCCGCCGCGCTCAGTCTCGGAGCCATACAGATCTCCCGTATACGCAAAAGGAGGGCCGAGGGCAGATTTCGCCATGAAGCACCTAGGTCTGGAAGCTGAACCTGTTGCAAGTTCAGAATTGGCTCAACGGCAAAGGTGAAGCTCCGCAAGATGCTTAGCCACTGTATGCGGACGAGAACAGAGAGGAGAGCGCATGCGAAGAGCGCACAGAGAGAGAGCGAGAGAGTGAGTGAGTGGCTCTCTTACATCTGTGTCTTCTCTCTTCTTTGAGGCAGCTTGAGAAAGAGGAGCTCCAAGTCGCGGCGGCTGCCGGGCAGGCGCGCGGGGCGCGCACGGCCCCGCCCCAAGACCAGCCGGCTCTCCTTTCGAAACTGTCGTGGAGAGGACTTAGAAGCCGGAGATGCTGACGAGGATGCCTCGTTAGACCGGCCTTCGGCGGGAGGGCTTGAACGAGCTGCCCAAAACTTCTCAGGACTTGCAAAGCGGAGATGCCGACGGAGAACAGGTCCGATGCCCCAGAAGCGGCTTTACCGCTGGGCTTGGCCGGGCCCGGCCCTTGGCCGGTGCAAATGACGCAGGTTCCGCAAGAACGAGGGTCGCTGGACGATCCCATGCCGCCGAGAGCCTCCGCAGCTGCGGATCTCTGAGAGCCTCTCTCTCTTCTGCGCGCACTTCTCGCGCCTGACCGCTTCGCTCCGCTTCCGAGGTCGGCTTCCTCGCTCCCCAAGGGAGGCCCGAGGCTCTGCCCGAGGCTTTGCCGGCCTACGCCGACGGAGACCGCGTGGAATACTTCTCCCCCACCTGTGGGCTGTGGCTCCTTGGTGAGGCCAGGCTCTCAAAATCTGCCAGGCCTTGCGTCTCGGCTCAAGCGTAAAGGTGACGGTGAAGTCAGATGCGAAGAGGTCTGCGGCCGAGCTTGCCACATGCCTGTGATCGCTCGTTTCTGTGGGAGAGTGTCGGCTGTGCTTACGACCCGGAAAATGCCACGATGCGTTGCGAGAGTTCTGAGCCTCGCTCTCGCCGTGCCGCCTTTCGGTCCGACAGCTTCAGAGAAGGCCCAGTCTTTCCACAGCCCAGAACAGCCTTCAGCAAGTCTCACTTCCCCACAAACAGAGCCAGAGCGAGAGAGCGAGCGAGAGAGCGAGGGAGAGAGAGAGCAAGAGAGAGAGAAAGAGAGGGAAGATAGAAGAGCAAGAAAGACAAGAGAGCGATCTTGCCATGTGTTGACGACTCCCGATGTCGAAGTCGCCGAGCGAGGCGCAACGGGTGGAGGAGCATGCTCTGTTTGAGACGTCACCTTGTGTCTTGACGAAAGTTGCAGAACTCGTACTGCTTCGCTTCTTCGCGAGGCGCCGTCCTTTCGCGATGTCTTGGATCAGGTGCAACTCTAGCAGACCCAAAAACCGCGAGACGCGCGCGAGCTGGCCACTGTAAGAGCTGGGCCTTCTCAGGTGCGCGCTGAGGCCTTGGAGGGGGGCTTGCAGCTGCCGCCTCGCGTCGAAGAGGACGGCGAGGCGAGCACACCAGAGCGGAGCCGCATCGGGGGGAGTGTGGCTCTGCTTTCGGGGGGTTAGCTGCTTGCAGCGCTGCCCAGGATGCGGCCGCCAGGCGCCGAACCGAAAGCTGAGGCCTCGGACGGGGAGGGGCCTTTTCGGGCCTTGTCGCAGGTGCCGTGAGGCCTTGCTCCTCCTTTCGAACTTCTGCGAACAGAGCGTGGAGGAGCCCAACCAGGCACAAGTACGTAAAGGCACCACAAAAGGCCTGCACACACCCATGGTCACTCTGCTTCCTTGAGGTGGAGAAGCAGCGGCACTTAGCTCTGCTCCTGACGGCCAAACTCCTGGAGCCGCCGCCCTCAGCGCGATGCAGCGTCGAGCGGAGAGTGCGTGTTTCCGCCGCGGACATCGCGCAGTCGCTCGCTTTTCGAGGTCCTGCGAGTCCGCGGAGTTGTCGAGCCTTTCCCTCAGCCCTCAGCCTATCTCAGCCTCAGCTCCGGTGAACCCCCAACTGCGTCTGTGGCCACAAAGGCAAGCCCTTCATCGCGGCCGTTCGCCGCTTCTTCTCCGTCTCTTTGCACCTCGACTTTGCGGGGAACCTGCCTTTGTGGGGATGCAGCGTCTAGAAGCTGAGGACTCGAAACAGCCTGCCTCGGCCCAAGTGTATACAGGAGCCCGGGGTCTGGGAGTCGTCTCTTTCGGCCAGGTCTTCGGGGTTGAAGATGACGAAGTTGGCGCTGCGACTGGTCGTGGCGCGCTCTGCCTCGCCTCGCCTCGCCTGCCTCGTCGGTCGTATCGCCACGGGCATCGCTGATCAGGTCCTGGTTTCCAAGCTCTTCGGGGAGTCTCTTAGACTCTTGGCAGAGAAGTCCACTAGCATTGGCAGCAAGAGACGAGGGAAGAAGCGCACTTGCTACAGGCTACGAGCTTGGCGTCTTCCTGGATCAAATCGTCCTGCCAGTCCTTGTGAGCGGAAACTCCAGCTACGCGCAGAAGCACTGGATGCTGCAGGTGGCACGGTTCTTGTTGGAAAAGATCTGTAATATGTTCAGTAAACACTCTGTATAATCCATCCACCTATCGCCTACCTGTCTCGCTTGTCTAATACCAAGCAGTCATATATCCATCTTCTAGCTAGCTAGGTGTAGGCGTGCAAAAGATGCGCAATGTGCGGGAGGTCTCGCAGACCCTGTTTGGGGAAGCCGCCTCGGCGGTCCTCGCGGTGTTCCTCATTTTCGATTGCGACTTGCAGAAGCACCGAACTTGGCGGGAGTTTCGCAACTCAATTTGGGGGAACTTTTGCTGCCCTTTCTCCAAGGCGGAACGTCTTGGAACGCATGATCGAGTCCTTGTCCAGGCGCCAGCTAATGCAAGGTCGTAGGGAAAGAAGCGTCGAGAGGCCCTTGCATGACGAGTGCTGAGGATCGCCACGGGAAAGTACACCTCCAGCGAGCATGCCAGCGTCATCCAACCAGAGCAGGAGCAAACTCGAAGCAGGGAGATGTTTGCGGAGAGACGTTTGCAGATGTCCTCTCGCCAGGAACATCGCTTGAGGATCTTGGCCCTTGGCGCACTCTTGACTCTGGTGAAGTCGCTGGAAGTCAAAGCGCAAGGAAGCGAAGCAGCTCTGCAGTCTGCGCGCTTGCGCCGCATCCTTCCAGTGCCGCCGCAGGACACGTGACTCCGCCACGAGGAGGGCCGAGCTTCTGAGCTTCCGAGCTGTTCTTTGATTTAGAACTCTTTTCTCTTCAAGGCAGCTCCGACACTGGCTTGGGAGCTTCGTGGCAGGCGGGCGCTGACTCATGAAATGTTGTGCATGGAGCCTAAGTGGAGCCTAAGGAGCCTCTGGAGGACCCGCCTTGGCAGAGCCTTTGGGAGGGGATGAGAGAATGTTAAGTCTGTTAAGTGCTTTGAGAGATCTTTTGAGTCGAGGAGGACGAGGAGGGCGAGGAACTGCGCACGCGGAGCCCGGGGACCCAGCCCGGGCCCGCCCGGCCGTTCCCGGCCGTTCCCGGCCTGCGCTCTTTTCGAAGCCTCGCGAGGTGCCACTGCGGCCTTGGATCAGAAGCGGCTGAAACGGGAGCTGCAGGAGAACCATACACCGATGGTTCGAAGGGGCATAGCCGCAGCCTGTGCTGTGAAATTGGGTGCAGGAAGGCGTGAGCAAGTTCAACTTGAAGCCAAAGCAGCTCGGCTTTCAACTCCCCGTTGCCTAAAAAGCTCATCTCTTCCTGGGAACATCTCTTTCGGCCGTCTTCGGCTTCGCACGGCTTTGCTTCGTAGGCGCGGCCTGGAGCACCTGAAAAGAGCCGGGCTCGTCGAGAACGAAGACCCAGGAGCCGCGAGCTCTTCCTCTTCCCAGCGCGGGGCCCTCCGGCCGCTCGGTGTCTCTCTGTTTGTGGAGGCTCGCTGGCCAAGCTCTTCCGGAACACGGAGATCGGCTTGGACAAGACGACGATAGGCGGAGTGTATGAGGGCTGAACCAGCTTGGGGGGTGGCGCTTCTCCAGCTTTCTCTGCTCCAGGTGACTACCTTGGCGAGGAGAAGTCTATAGACTCTAGAGCATCCAGAGCATCGTGGCTCCTGGCCGTTGTTCTGATCCCTCTTTTTTTCCAAAAGCTGGGAGAGGACAAGGCCTTCAACAAGAGGGTCCTGGATGCGCTGCTCGAGAGCTTCGACTTCGCGCCGGAGGGCCCAGAGAAATCGGTGAGGGCAAGCGATGATGCCATGGACATGGTCCAGAGGGAGACGGAGACAGAGAGCGCGAGAGAGACGGCTGGTCAGGGCGAGGAAGACACTCGCTTGTCAGTCAGCAGGCGAGGGAGAAAGAGAGAGAGACTTGCAGGCAGGGTTAGGCAGGAAAGGTTGGTTTGGGGGACAATCCTGAGTGAAAGCTCCCGTGGGGCAAACAGTCTTGGTCTTACTCTGTTCCTAAGCCGCACTTGTTTGTGTACCTGCACCACGGGGGCGACGGGACCAGACAAACGTTCGGTCCGGAGGACCCACTGCACAGCTGAGCCCCTCCAACAAAATGGTGGAGGGGGTGCGCTACTGCGCGGGCCGCGGGGTCACCCGTGGTCTTAACCCCAAAGCAAAGCAAAGAGAGGGAGAGATACTACTCCTTGGAAAGTCGGGAAAAAGTTGTCCTTGATACCGAAAGTACAACCATCGGGCGGTGTGGTGAAGACAAAGAACGAGAGAGAGGGAGAGGCCAGCAAGCAAGCAAGATAGTATCTGAGGGGAGAGAGAGAGAGAGAGATTGTGACCATTTTGGCTCAAGTGGCCCACCTGGGGGAGGCCTTTAGGACTGTGCCATGACCGAGAAGGTAAAGGCCGTGACATCTACAGCCCTGACCGCGACCTAGCAACAGCAAGTTCTACTCCTTTGCAGCACCGGCAGAGGAGGGGACACTGTTCTTCACGTTGAAGGCCTTTTTGTCCGAGGGAACGCCGATCCTGACCTACCTTTTCGCTTGGGCGGGGGGGAACCTGACCTCAGAGATCGTGACTTGGGCAACGACCGCGAGATAGTGAAGTGTGCCATGGCGGGGACATGTAGGCTCTGCAGATATGCAGAGGGGACCTGCACCATCGGGATGCGGAAGATTCACGACCGCACGGACCCGGCCTGTAGGTTGCATGGAGTCACTGCGAAGGCTACCGCTCCACCTCGTAACAGTACCAGGAGCCCTCCGAGAGGGGGAGACCAGACAGCAAAGGCACGAGCGCCGCGCCCAGCAGCTCGGGGAAAGGCTTCAGCTACACAAGCCACACGCCAAGCAAGTCGGGGGACTACCTCAACAAGGCCTCTGGAAGAACTGTCAGGTTTCCGGACGCGCAAGGGGGTGGTCTTACTTTACGAGCCAGACCCGCTCGATGCGTGGATTGGCAAAAGAGTCGAGCAACAACCCGGGGGAGCCCTCGTTCATGCTGAGACCGGGGGAGCCCTCACCAGACAGGAGATCAAGCAGTATACAGCCTTTTGCCAACGACACACAGCGAGAAATGAGGAGGCACGTTTAGCTGACAAGCTCTTCCACATAGTGGACAAGTACCTTCCACTACAAGCTGATGAGACTCGTGCTTACATAGCACGTTTCCCGGGGGAAGTCCAGACGTTGCTGCCAAAGGCCAGAAAAATCCGTGATGCTCTTCGACGACAAAGGGGATCCAGCGCGACAACAGAGCTGGAGCAAGCCATGCATGGGGGGGAAGAGAACCCGTGCCGAGCTGAGGATGCAGATGCAGACGAAGGACTACCAACACCAACCACGCGGGGGAGTGCCACAGCAACAGAGCGTGTGAGAATGGAGAGCCAGGGGGATGACAAAACCCGTGAGACAAAGGAGCAGCCAGCGGACACTGACACCCCACCAGACTGGGGAGGAGAGACTGACGAAGAGGACCCGCCGACTAGCTGGCCGTGGGGAGAGAAGGGGCGCCCATCTGACAGTGGGCAAAGCAAGGGGATTCTTGCAGAACGTCCTAGTGAACCCGCTGGAGTGCCCCGACCACAAGGTGAAGCTTCCGCTGAAGAAGGCCGGGGGATACATCTCGTCCCCAACCGTATGTGGCAAAACGTGAGGGCAGTACAGGCCCATATGGAGCAAGCTCGAAGACAGGGGAGAGCGACGCAATGACGGGGGATTTTCTTCCTTTTCCTGCAATTGGTGGGGGCAAAGATCGCTGCCTACTTGCACCGACCTGCATGGAAGTTCTTCCTCTTCCGCTACTGAGGGGGACTGTTGCTGATCGGACAAATCCGTGCCTGCATGCATACCTGGAGGTGTGAACTCTTTAAATAAGCATGTGAATGCTTTCTCGGGCAAACTTCAATCCTTGGCCCCAATAAGGCCCTGAAATCATGGCTTCTTTTCAACACACCTGTACGATTCGCTCCCTTTCTAGTAAGAATTCGGGGGGACATGCCATGGCTTCAATTAATACCGCTCCGCTTGAGACAGTCCGTGTAAGGTGCATGCTTCTGCCCTGGCCCCCCTTCTTGAGTACCTCACCACGTGGAAGTGCACTATAACTCTGTTGTCTTGCAGTGGGGGGAACTTGAGCGCAGGCCGTGACACACCCAAGTAGGCCGGGAAGCTTATCGGGGACACCACTTTCAACTGTTTTTAGCTCGTGTGTTTTTTGGGGGTCAGCACAGCAGCCTCCAAAGCGGCCCGGCCCTCAGAGTGAAGTTATGCCATGGGTCATGTTTGTTTCTTGGTTCTTGTTACCTGTAAGTATGGGTGCACCTGCTCGAACGGCCACTGTATAGCCGAGCCCTTGGGGGGCAACCCCCCAAAGGAATTTCTTTCCGGCAAAGACCCGCCGCTGCGCGTTCGCGTGCGGGGGAAGGGGCCTGGACGCTGCTCTGACCTCCATGGCTGGCAGAGAGAGAGAGATTGTGACCTTAGCTTGGCGATGATGAGGCCTGGGGGTTGCAGACATGGGTAGCGGTATAATTGGTGTCCCAAGGTACTGTATACTGAGCCTGGTATCGGGGAACCTTTTGTCTTCAATGGAACCGATACCCAGCCCACCGGGGTGGTTGACGGAGGAAGACACAGCGATCGCTCCTTCTCCGTCCTTGTGCCTCAGGAAGCAAGAGTTCGACGAGGCCCTCCGTGCCTTCCTGGCTGTCTTCAGGCAGGGTTCCAAAAAGCCTACAGGGCAAGAAGCCGTGCCAAGCTCCCACCTTCGGAGGCTGCCCGGCGAGGGTCAGAAGATCGACCGGTTGATGCAGCACTTCGCCGCGAAGTACTGCAAAGATAATCCCGGGAGGAGCCGCACAGCTGGCGTACCATTCGTCACGGCTTTGGTCAGTGCAGTCTGGTGTGGAGGTTTTCCGATGAGGATTGTGTCTACGTGCTGGCTTATTCAGCTTGACTCTCAGAGAAAAAATCGGAAGAGAAGCGAGAGTGATCCAGGCTTGACCCACAAGAAGTTCTGCAAGTGCCGGACGATTTACAGTCCAATTTCCGTCCCGTGCAAAGAGATTCTACGCCGATTCTGCACGCTTACTTCAGGTCATGATGTTGCAGACGTCTCTTCATAAACCATCCATCAAGGAGAAGGAGCTTGGCGGCATGGAAGCAATATTGAGCAGTTGCGACTGTGAAGCTCGAAGTCGAAGCAGGACCGGATGACGAAGGCACGATTTAGGGAACTCTGAGAATTGGCCAGTACTTGAGAAGACGTGTGGCAAAGACGTCTCTTTCTCACTGCAGGCTCAGTTCATCAGCAACAATCGCGGCATTGACGGCGGCAAAGACCTGCCACAGGCCAATGGGAATGCTTCTGCGACTCCTTTTCTTTGTGCCGCCCTGGTGCCCTGTTCCCCACTGTGCTTCAGGAATACCTGGAAGCCTTGTACGACATCGCAGCTTGACGTGAAGAAGCACACAGCGAAAGCTGTGAAAGCGCAGTCCCGAGGTCTTGAAAAGCCCTTTCTCCCTTCAAGAAGACGAGGACTGTCTTTGCCACGCAAGATCAGCCTGAGCACCCGTCGCATTTACGGCGCTTCACTTTGACAGGACGCCAGGGTGCGTGCCGAGCCAGCGGCCCTAACAGTGGCGAATGCGAAACGCAGCTCTCGTTCGCAGTGTGTCGTTTCTGGAAGGTCTCAAGCGGCGCGGAGTGCGGCACAGAAGGGCGAGCTCTTCTTACGCGAGGCTGGGCGCAGCGGGCGCAGCTTTGGCTCCGTTTTTTTGGAGATGCAAATGCGCCCTGCAAGGCTTGGAAGCTGGTGGCCAAGGCCGAGGAGACGATGGCATCGGAAGGTCGCCTGATATGATGTCTCTCTCTCTCTCTCTCCCTCCCCCGCCTCTTTTTTAAGTTTTCTCTGCGGCTCTGAGCTTTTCTTTTTAAAGCGAGGTGAGGTGCGGTCCTTGAGCCTGCGGAGCGCCGACGTCCGGTCGCTGGCGCGGACGTTGTTCGAGGCCGCTTGCTGGCCGATGCTCGCCTCGTCAGACCCTGAGACGCCGGTGTGTGAGCCTCAAACCGAGGGTGGGTCTCTTTTTGTATCAAACAAAGCAGTTCGGGCTGCCCACTGACCTACTAGCTAACCTGTACTAAGGCTTTCCGTCGTCCTGGAAACGCAAGAAGAGCCCGAGTGCATTGAGCTTTGTATTACCGGTTTCCAACAGTGCATCCGCGCAGCCGCGCGCTGCCCGACCGCAAGAGACTGCAGGAGGGGGGGATCAGGGAGCACGGGAAGTTGGTCTGTGACGAGGCATGCAGATGGATGTGGAGCGAGGCTGAGCGCCCTCTGTGCAAGCTTAAGTTTGCCTTCCGCCTTCTGCGGCGTTCTGCGGCGTTCTGCTCCTTGAGCCGTGTCCAGATGCCATCGTGTCCTCGCTGGCCAAGTTCACTTACCTGACCACTCTTAAAGAGCCCTTTGGGCGCGCAGAGAGGGGGGGTTGGAAAGAGTAGATGGTGCAAGTCACAGTCTCACTCTCTCACTCTCTCTCTCT